TCAAACAACATTAAACAACTGAGTAAAATACCCCAAAACACAGTCAATATCAAGGCTATTTAACATTGAAAATTCAAAGTCTAGCTAGCTGAGAGTGTCAGTACAAGACACCCTCCCCTCCCCACTGCTTTTGACAGCTGGCCGGCAGCAATCCATCAGCAGATGGGCCTGTGCCTGGGCCATGTGCCCAGCCTGGCCTTAACGGAGCTCCCCCTGGGTTTAAGGTCGCTAACTTAGCCTGGATTTGGGCTGCGCCCGAATCCAGGCGAAAACCTATTATTAGTTAAAAATCCTTTTAAAATAATTTTTTCCCATTTGAATTCATCTCAACATATCCTGTCAAAATTATTCGTTACTTTAGCGAGGAGTTGCGCTTCGAAGAACTGCTAAGACTTGTCTTTCTCCGAACTTGCTTCTTTTACAGCGAAATATAAAAACTAAGAGCTGAATGATTTACAAATTGACTTGGTATAGAGACTAACTGAATGATTAAACAACAACCCTGGTTGCTGAATTGATAAACTTAACTTTTACTTACTCGGCACATAGTTTTTAGAGAGAAATAATGGTTATGAAACCCGACAAAGTACTTTGTTGTATGTTTTTGTTCGCTTTTTCGGCCTTGACTGTGCAGAAAACACAACTGTTGTTTATTAGTGACTGAGGAACTAACTATAATAGAAAACGTTTTGGTTACGTAATTCAAACGTAGTGTTTGAGCGCAAAACAAAAGATTGTACACGGTCCAGTGGACCTTCCAACACAAATCTGGCTAGGTTTGTCGACTCCTTTTGATGTTTGCTAGGCTTTATAACCATTCCCCCCTGTTAACTATGCTCAGCAACGGGAGCGACAACAACAACAACAACTACAACAAAAACAACAATAACAAAATAGTAGTAAGTTTATGACAGAGTAATTTTTAACCTGATTGCATCGAATGTAGTTTTACTTGATTGCATCAGTGGATATCTCGGCAACAATGTAAAATTGCTCACTTTATTATTTAGGTAATATTTAAGCTAGCTCTGAGTGCCAAAACCACCCAGCATGACTCATAAGTGGCACAAGTAGCATTACGTCAATGACAACGGACGCCCAGTAACATGGGTTACGCCCGTAATCTATTATCAACGCCTTCACATGGCAAGATTTGCATGTCTCGAAATATCACGTGAAATCGCCTAAATATATTTCCGGAATTTCCAAAAATATTTTCTAAAATATCACAAAACGTTTCCAAATATCTCGAAAGAACCTCTAAATATCTGTTATTTCTGTTTTAAATATAAACCGATTTTTCAAGGAGGAAATCACTGAACTGCATGGACTGTTTCCGGTAAATAACTGAATATATTTTCAAGGAAATAGCAAGGAAAACACAGGGCTAAGCCAAAAGAAAAATACAAATATTTCTAAATATCCCTAAATTTTCCAAGTATTTTCATATTTTCTAAATATCTCGGAAACTTCTAAATATCTCCTCCCTCCCAAAAATCCAGATATTTGTGGAAAGGCCGATTCTATGAGGTTTTGACATCACACATTCCCAGCCCACAGTAAGAACCACTGATAATGGATACGGCGCAACGGTCCTGAGTTGTTTCGTAATATTCAGCTAAGTGTTGCGTAACCACCTTTGCAAATGAACCGGTTTAGAAGGTCTGCTCGATTATCAGAACAATTAGAACATGTCCTTACTTTCGCCGTCCATTAGAGTGCGAGCAGTCTCTCTCTCCTTTGCTAGGAAATCCGCCTCTGCCAGTTCGATCTGTTTTTGCGTTCTTCCCTCGCGGATGTTCGAGCAACCTAGAGACTGCTGGCTCTCTAGTTGTCCACATCAAGAGATTCCAGTTTAAAGAATGACAAAATCAATTGTATTGAGAAATCGCCGAGGTTGTTTGCTGAACAGAACTGAGATTAATTTTCGTTATTACAAGAATTGCATTTCTAGTGCTGTAAATTAAATTTGCATCTATTCACATGATTACTGATATTAGCTTGCAATAAAACGACTGTCTGATTCTGAGAGCCCTATTCATCTCTGAAAAGTTTTTATTTGTGGGTCAAAGTATTGCGTTTGACTCGTACCTGCAATACAAAAATTTCTACAGATTATTAACACTACCGTTCGAAAATTTACTGCGCAATTATATGGGCGTGCGTGAAAGCGACTAACTATGTTCTTTGATGCTATCGTGATCCAAACAAACATCATCTTCATTCGAGTCTATGATAGTTACCACACGCAATAAGTACGGTATGTTTTTTTCTGGAAGATAAATAGTCATATTTTCCAGTTACGTTAAATATTATGAACAGGTATTGATATATTGGGCTGAATCCGCTAGTAAACCGTTAATAAAACAATGCGGGATCGAATGTATTGTATAATTCGCTTCGATAATCGATGTACAAACTTGTCGTGCCGAATGTCCGATTGTATTATCGAGAAATTTTCATCTTTCGCTGTATTAAACTGCTGATTTTCCTAGGCTGTGAACGACCATTTCTTAACAACTTAGGACAGGTATTGTTAAATAAGTATTCCAAAACCTTGTAAAATGTCTCTTCAACATTGTCATTCAGCTTGGCGGAGGCATCGAACCAGTGACATCCAAATCTGCTCTCCAAGTGCATCCCTACGCTGACATTTAGTCCTCGTTTATCTTTAAACTTTGGCTGCACGAAGTCGGAAAGGTCAGATTTGTTTGAAATCACCACAACTGGTTTGTCACTGATCGACGCAGCGTTGCTTTCTTTGATTTCATCAAAGTATCGCTCAAGCTTTACAAACGATTCAGGTCGATCCAGAGAATATACCAAGATGACCGCGTCCGACTTGTCCATATTAACCCTCCTCATGGCGGGAAACTCATAAGTCCCTGAAGTATCGATAATTTGAAGTTCGCAAGTTTTGTTCTTGTAAGCTAAATGCTTGACATGAAAATCTTCCACGGTGGGTAGATGTTCGGGGTTGAATTGTAGCCCGACCAGGCGGTTGATAAGCGAGGTCTTTCCTACTCCCGCGTCGCCGAACACCGCAACAGTGAACTTCTGCAAGTAGCTTTCGTTTTCTTCTTCTTTGTCTTTCGGCATGGTTTGTCACTGACTTAGCAGTTCGCAGTTGCTTTCTCTCTTCTACGGAAACGACGTGAGTAGAATCGTAGATTCTTCGATCAAACGGAAGTTAAATCTAATGAAGATCAAAGAACCAGACATCCGTTGTTTGTACGTCAATCCACTTCGGAATAAAGTCAGTTTTCAGGGATTAGTTGGGTAAAGATTTCTTGCGTACAACACCAAATCTCGTTTAAGTATACCGTTCACCAGTGAAATAATTGTTTATAAAAGGCGGTATTCGTTCAGGTGTGTCTGACAGCCATTTGGCCTCATGCATGACTTGGAACAATTAAAAATCCGTACGGCAATTCTTTGTGTAAAGCCATAAAGGCATTTAAAACAACTACAGATTTGCATATGTCGGCTTAAGTACATTGTACAAAAACTGTGATGCCGTCAGAATTAATCCATCTGTTATTCACTGCTATTCAGTCCAGCTAAGCAGCGATTCCCTAGTATAGAATGATTACTTATAGCAATTAACTAATTTTAACCTGTTTGAAATGTTCTTATGGGCATTCGCACTACATCGTTATTCCCAAAAGAGTTCATTAACTGAACTTCGCAGAGCAGGCTTCAATAAGGCGACAATGTCCATAAATTAAGCCTAACAAAACCAGTGAACATTAAAATTAATTGAAGCATATATAATTATCTATAACAAAATATTTGTCTTCTATTACCAAAGTCAGTCAGTACGAAGACAATTATCATTATTGCACGTAAAGTAAGAAAGGTATCAAACGTTAATTGATCAAGGTTTATTAGACGGTTAATCGTCATCGAAAAGCGACGCGCAAATTTTTAAATGAGTGGGTGTCCATCAATATCTTGTCCTTAAGCATCGGTTGCCGTGGTACCAGGTGCTCCCATCAAACTCATTCACGTTGTAAATGAAGCGATGACTGAACTGATATATACCGTTCTATTTCAATATTTGTAAAAGCTGAAAAAACACAAACGAAAAATAACGCGATTATATCCATCTCATACGATCAACCGAGTGAATACTAATAACCAATTAAACTGATTCTGTAAATATTGGTTTACAGCAACGAAATACCTATTCCTTCGGTAAACTTGGAATTTACTGGCACGTACAACCTAGCTTTCTAAACTGAAATTCATCTCTCTAATCCTAAGAGAGGATGTAAAATTTCGGACCCACGGTAGGCGTTGCATAACAATTTCAATAATAGCAGGGAGTCCAAACGAAAGGTCTGTTGTTGTTGTTTTTTTTAAATTTTTCTTGGAAAATTTTAAATGAAATTTAAGGTTGATTCAGTCGAATTGCGACATAAAATGGAAGTTCCGAGCTCGTATTCGGGTTATTTGAGCTTGAAAACTAGCATCTTGACGAATTTTCACCAAACAATAAAGTCGTGGAAAGATTGCGTTGTGTAACATTCGAGTGGTGTCCAGTGCTGAAGTCGTAAACATCGATGTTTTTCAATTGGGTAACTCAGCAGTATTCGTGCGTGCACGAGCGCACTTATATTAGTTCCACAACAGCATAACGAAGTCAGTCCCACGGACTTGTGTCAATTATTACAGTATATTTTATTAGTGCGATGATTATACGTTGATTAACAATAACATACACCTTTATCAAACTAAATAAGGTCATATTTCTAATGGAATGGCGGAATGTCAGACAACTCGCCCCCGATCTTCAGACAACTGGTCCCCGATCTTCAGACAACTGGCCCCAATATGAAAAAACCTATGTTACGTTGGACAAATATATTTTTATGCTCATAAAGTAATAATTTCTTGAAAAAAGAAGAAAGTTTGTTTTTTAAAGTATATTACGAGACCAGGTAGGTTGCTACCAGTGTAAATTTATCATAAAATGAATGGTTGCTTAGAGCCTCGTTTCTGTGCAGGAAATTTGACCACGTGACAAATGAGAATATCATCAGTGCAACCGCATCATCGAGGGATAAATTTTGAGTAAGTTTGACAAGCTATTGTGAACATTTAAAAAAGGTTACATGCGTTTTTCTGGTCCAGCCTCGCTTTGATGTTAGGTCACGTGACCACCTCATAATCGGCAACTGTCACTAACTGATCAAATTGCGTATTTCTGCCCATTTTGGGTAAGTTTGACAAGCTTTTGCAAACATTAAATATAGTAATATGTAATATTCTATTCCAGCCTCGTTTTCATGCTAGAATATCACGTGACCACTTCATAATCAGCAATTGTCACTAAATAAGAAACTTACGAATATCTGCCAAGTTTGGTGGTGAACCGATGGTAATTGATGAGGTTATAAAGAATTTAATGTACCAGCCTCGTTTTCATGTTGGTTCATATGCATCCGATTTTCAACCCTCCTTAAAACCCGTCCTAGCAAGTTGCAGAGTTGCCACCAAAACTTTTAATGTTCACTAGACCCTAATGAACACTTTTAGACTGGTGGCTTGCTATCAGCACGAACTTCCCAAGGGATTACATTTGCTCCCAGACTAGTAACATGCGCTAACATCCTTCACCTTTTCTTCTACCCAGAGTGCCACGCGTGAATGTGTGTTCAGTTTCATTTGTCAGCGGTTTGCCTCAGGGAAAGGAAAATAGGCACACTTTGTTCGTCCTTACATGACGCAGATTTTGTTTCCCGCTTTGGTTCAGAAACTTTTCGCGCCGGTTTCTCCCGATCGAGATAGACTAATATATAGATTTAGTCAAGCCTAAAACTAGAGCTCCTGGGCCGGGCTGTTCAAAGCCCGATTAAGATAATCCAGGTTAAGCGAGAATTTTGATTTTAGTTTTGCAACTTTGCAGTGAGGTTTTCTGTATATTGTTTGGCCGTCTACATTGAGTTTGAACAATCTCAAAATATGCAAAACAAAAGTAGTGAAAAACATTTGTATACAAGGCATATTTATAATTCTGTTAACTTTTAATCCTGGGTTAGCGTTAACTGGCTTCCGAACAACCTGGGCCCTGTTGCCACAAGTTAACCTTACATGAGCCCGCGATCTAACAGAAACCAGCTCTTGGTCAGCGGTAAAAAACACGTGACCTCGATGCGCTATAACCTTGAGCCCTCGATATGGTCACGTGATACTGGTCAGCGGATACCTTGTTTTGACAGGTGTCAATTGACCATAACATGTATGTCCAATATCAAAGAAGGAGGCTATAAATCAAGGTTGCATAATAATAATAATAATAATAACAACAATAATAATAATAATAATAATAAAGTTTTTTGGGCGCATTTAAAAAAACTCAATGCGCTTACATTACTATNTTACTGTAACATAAGTATTATCCTACTGTAACAAATTGCGGAGATTCATCAGTTTTCCAAGGATAAGCATTTTTGTCAAAGTATATCTCTTCAGTTCCCTGCCCCCAGGTGGGGATTGGGTCAGGTTTCAAACTATATTGTTCTAGTTTAAAACACTGTATTATTTTTGAAGGGTGATTATTAAAGGAAGTTGCAACAAAAAAATATCTGTCAATATGATCTATTTTATGTTGTCATTTCAACTTATCAAAAACAGTTATTACTACTGATACATTTGGGATTAAAATAGCAAATTTGTTTAACCGATTTTTTGTTGTTGTTAAATTGACAAGAAGTAACTAAAAAAAAGGGTTCTCTCAGATGCACCCTGGATACCTTTTTAATTAGTCAAATGAACCAATTTGTGTGGTTACAAAACTAAAAAAGAATAGTCATTTTAACCAAAGGTAATGGTTGTTCCAACTTATAATAAACAGGTTAAAACTACTAATTCTAATTGGTTAAAATGACATGAAAAGTGGCGGCAAAGCAACTAAAAAAAATGGTTGAGACAAAACAATCAATTGTTATTATGATTATAATAATGATAATAATAATGTTTTTTTGGCACATTTACAAAACTCAATGCGCTTACATTACTATAAAAAATAAATTAGTTAAATCCTATAAAATATTTCTAATAACAGTAATAAATAAAATAAATGAAATAATTAAAATACAGATCCTCATAAAATAAAATAAATCAAAAGTAAGATTTCCGAAACGGGAATGTTTTGAGGGCAGATTTCAAAGATGAAAGAGATGTACTTTTAACAGAATCTGGTAGACTGTTCCATAATATAGGTGCGGAGAAAGAAAAGGCACGTTCACCGTATGTCACAGAGTTCACATTAGGGACAGTGAAAAGAAGTTTAGAGGATGAGCGTAGGCTCCTTTGCAGGTGGTATTGTTGTAGGAGGGACGACAAGTAGGCTGGACAAAGTCCATNCTCACGTTTATAAGCATTTGCAGGCTTCAGAGTCGTGCCGTACCTCTTGTAACTTAGACTGTTTCAAGATCTTAGACTCTGCACCTACCAAGTACCAAGTTAATTCTTTCCAATATGGGTATGGGGCTCCGCTTAGCGGCCCTTTGGGCCGGCGGAGCTCCGCTATGATGGTCCAATGCTCATTTATTTGTCAACCCAGCTAGTGAAACTGTATCATATATGAGCCGTACCTACCAATGCGGAAGTCTATGAAATGCTCAGTACTTCCCGTCGCTATGTTCGAGGGCTGAAAATAAACCTCTCTTGAGTTTTTAATAAGATAAATAGGTAATTAGCTCAGTCCAGCCTCTAATTAATGCAGGTTCACCCTTCACAGAGAAAAACAATCAAACGCCAGGTTTTGAGTTTCGTTAAAAGGTTGTGGCTGATCGCAAGAAAGTTTTAGCGAATCATTTTACGCTGATTATACTTCCCAGTTTCATTCTAACTGTTAGCGTTTCTTCTCCTGGAATATTTTTCACAAGGCGCGGTTTTTTCGGGAAATCTGGTCAGATCTAGCTGGCGAACAGGCTCCCGCTTCGTTCTCCGAATTCTTCTGTTTCGCACTCGTCGAAATTTTTTTCCGTCCACGCCGGGAGCCTGTTTGTAGGCTAGGTCAGATCTTTCCCTAGTGTTTTTATACACACATCTCTTCACATTGAATTTTGACAGGGAAATATTGATAGACCACTCGAGTCCCCTTTTCCATTACTTGGCCACTCTGCAGCCTATTTTGTGTCCAAGTTCATGATACTTTGCATACTTCACCCCTCATACACGTCCTTGAGCACCTCTTTGTTAACAGCAAAAGCTATTTGCAATCATTTCTTTACCTATTTGTCAATACCTAAAGAGAGATCTGGTTGAGAAAATGTGATATAATTACATTAAATTGGTTCTAAGGTGAATTACTTTCAAATTTTCGGATTTAACCTCTAATTATCCATTTTCAGCTCAGGTAAAACAAGTAAGTTTATTACGGAAACAGTTTAAATTTAGCTGTTTTGAAAGAACAACTCTTCAAAACATATTACAAAATTACTGAATACTGTAGTTAAACATGAAAAGAAAAGTTGTATTGCTATCAAATAACAATTATGGAAAGTCCTCCTCTTGAAAAATAGATAAAGGCAAAAGTGTCTAAGGGTTAATTAAACGACTGATAGACCCGCCTGACTTGCATGGCACCGTCCGAGCTACGAGACACGAAACATTTTATAGCCGTGGAG